AGGGTATATAAAAAGGAAAGGCAAAAATCATCAGGCATCATCACCACAGAGGCCCCTGGGTTTCCTGCTCAGTGGCAGCACCAGAGCTCTGTTCCTGTCCRGAATCTGGCAGGCTCAGCTGGCATCTTGGGCTGCATTTTCCTGTTTTTCAAGATTTCAATTTACCTCGGGAACCTACAGGACTACTCTGACAACCAATCAATGTTTTCAGCCAAACCGGTGCGCTGATTTCTTCACCTGCTGGTTCAGAGGCTGGTTTGGGTTTTCCCGGTGCATTTTGGAAGGTTTTGGGGTTTTATCTCCACATTTTATGCGTGGAAGAGCTCCCAGCAGGCAGGTGGGGAGGGAGGGTCACTGTGCACAGCCTGGAGGGATTTCTCCTCGCTCTGTCACCCTGACAGCTCTCGGCACACACACAAAGCAGGCGGGATTACAGGAGCTGGTATCAGCTGTCACACAAAGCGAAACAGCACCAGGAAACAAATCCAAAACACGGGGCTGGGGCCTTTCCCAGGAAGCTGTGACACCAGGAGGGATTTCCAGCCAGAGCGGCAGCCTCTTTACAAATCCAGCTGCACCTAAGCAATCTGAGCTGGGCAAAGTTTTTATATGRTGGAGAACAAACTGGTGAGAATCTTACACCAAATCCAGGATGAAAACCAGTAACAGCTTGGGGTGAAGCACAGCAAGACGGGAAAGGGAGGGATCTRCAACGTTTTGTTTCACTTTGTTTCAAAATGGACTTTTAAAGGGCCAGGAAATATGATCGGATCCCCGGGTGAAACAGGATACTTTGGCCGAGGATGAATTAAATGCCMGGGGTTTGTTCTGGGCTGCTTTCCCCTCCTCGGCAGGTGACTGACGCTGCCAGTGCTGCTCTGATCCCGCTCCCTCCCTCATCCACGACACGGGCAAGGGGATCACAACAGCGATAAAATCCTACAGGAATGACAGCTGGACACAGAGAGGGGYTCGGATGCTTTGGGCACCCCACGAGGGACACCGACCCCAAATTCCAGAAAGCAGAGTAGGAGATGGGGTCGCAAAACATCCGAGGGAGGCTTTGCGCTGAGGCAGGAGCAGCGAGAAGGATTTTACATTATCTCCCACCCCCGGGACGCAAATCAAGGCTGCGGAGGGGTTTACCTGGRTCACATCCCGGGCGCTGAGATGTCACCCACCGCTTCCCTTCCAGGACAGGTCCGGCTCCCGCTGCGACGATCCTGCCAGCCCTCACCTGCTGTCCCAAGGCAAGGTCCCTGAGGTGTTGGGGACGCTGTCCCCGAGGGCAGGGAGCCGCTCTGAGCTGTCCCTCGGGCGCAGGCCGTGCCTGGCACTGTCCCGTGACACGCAGGGATGGCCCTGTCCCTGCCCCCGCCCCGCGCTCCTGTCAATGGTTAACCGGGCAGGAAGCGACGCGGCCGGTGACACACCGGGGACAGCGGTGACAACATCGGGGACACACCGGGGAGAGCGGTGACACTCGGGAGAGAGCGGGGACACAACGGGGACATGGTGACAACACCGGGGAGAGAGCGGGGACACACCGGGGACAGCGGTGACAACATCGGGGACACACCGGGTAGAGCGGTGACACTCGGGAGAGAGCGGGGACACAACGGGGACACATCGGGGAGAGAGAGGGGACACATCTGGGAAAGCGGTGACAACACCGGGGAGAGCGGGGACACACCGGGGACACACCGGGGAGAGCGGGGACAGTCGGGAGAGAGCTGCCCACTGTCCCGGCCGGGCACAGCGAGGGGTGGCTGCCCGAGGGGACACGAGCACGGCGGGAGGAGAGGGGTCTGCGCCGCTAGGTAAGAGCCAGGGTGCCTGGAGCGGATGTCGCCTGCTACGGTGACACATGTGAGTGTCATGGTGCCAATTTCTCCCTGTTACAATGACACAGGTGAGAGCCGCGGTGCCTGGGACAGATCGCCCCTGTTACGGTGACACAGATGAGTGCCAGGTGACAATTTCCCATTACAATGATAAAGGTGGGTGTGACGGTGCCTGGAATGGACGTCCCCTGCTGCCATGATACGAGTGAGTGCCGTGGTGCCAATTCCCCCTGTTACAATGACACAGATGAGAGCAATGGTGCCAATTCCCCCTGTTACAATGACAAATCTGAGTGTGATGGTGCCTGGCACCAATTCCCCCATTTAATGACGCACATGAGTGCCATGGTGCCAGTTTCTCCCTGTTTCAATGACACAGGTGAGTGTGATGGTGCCTGGCACTGATTTTTCCCCAGTTATAATGGCCCAGGTGAGTGCAGTGGTGCCAATTTCCCCTGCCATCACATGACACAGGTGAGTGCAGCAGTGTCTGACACCGATTTTCCCCTGTTACAATGACACAGTTGAGTGTGATGGTGTGAATTTCCCCTGTTACAATGACCCCAGGTGTGATGGTGTGGATTTCTCCTGTTATAATGGCACAGGTGACTGTGATGGTGCCTGGTACTGGTTCCTCCTGTTATACTGACACAGTTGAATGTGAGGGTGTGGATTTCTCCTGTTGCAATGACACAGGTGAGTGTGATGATGCCAATTTCCCCTGCCATATAACACAGGTGAGTGCAGCAGTGCCTGGCACTGATTTCCCCTGTTGCAGTGACACAGGTGAGTGCAGTGGTGCTAATTTCCCCTGTTACAATGACAAATGTGAGTGTGATGGTGCCTGGCACTGATTTTTCCCCAGTTATAATGGCCCAGGTGAGTGCAGTGGTGCCAATTTCCCCTGCCATCATATGACACAGGTGAGTGTCCTGGTTTCTGGCATTGATTTTCCCGTTACAATGACCCCAGGTGAGTGTGATAGTGTCCTTTTCCTGTTTTAATGGCACAGGCGAGTGCAGTGGTGCCAGTTTCCCCTGCCATACAACACAGGTGAATGTCATGGTGTCTGGCACTGATTTTCCCCTGTTGCAATGACCCCAGGTGAGTGTGATGGTGTGGATTTCTCCTGTTATAATGACACAGTTGAATATGATTGTATGGATTTYYCCTGTTRCAATGACCCCAGGTGTGATGGTGTGAATTTCTCCTGTTACAACGACAGTCACAGGTGAGTGTGATGGTGACAATTTCCTCTGTTAGAATGACTCCAGGTGAGTGTGATGATGCCTGGCACTGGTTTCTCCCATTCCACTGACACAGTTGAGTGTGATGGTGTGGATTTCCTCTGTTACAATGA